GAAACACATATTAAAAGATATAATAATACTTAAGCATATGTCATAGTGTATTTCATGTAACACTCTAAAACCAGCGCTTTTGGTACATGGGTTTTTTAGAAGTTTCTTTTAACTTCTTTAAACCAACATTTCCACATATTTTTCATGAAAACTGCCTTGTCAGCTCATAGTAGAAACTGGTACTTTTCTCTAATACATGAATTCACTTTACCTTTTTCATCAGGGTATGTCCATATAACTGAACGGGTGGCAATTTAAATCACAATTGTTTTCTGAGGGAGACAATGTATTAAAGCTAAAAGCTTCAAAAAATTCAGGTGCTGTACATGAAATTATGTTTGAGCAAATTTTCATCATTATATTTCATTTGTAACCCATGAAACAATACTTCAAGATTTTTCTTTTTGATAGGAGCTCAACAACAGTGATTCAGTTGTAGTGAGTTTCGAACAAGGAGAAAATGAGGGGCATTAATATTTTTCCACTAGAGTAAAAAAGCACCTTTATGACAAAATCACAATGAATTTGAGGTTACATACCAAGTACTGAACATCTCTGCAAATTCACACAAATTATTTTGCAAAAACTCATTAAATTTACAGATATTACAAACAAATCTGAATACTTTTTAGCACTTGTGCACATAGGGCCAGAACCTGCATTCCTTATGCATTTAAAACTCCCACTGAAATGCAGGATAGAGCCCATTCTGTATATACTTTGCTTTTGTGCAGCATTGTATGTACAGTATGTACTGTTGCATCTACACTGATGCAAAGAAAGTCTATACAAGAGCCTTTGCAGGTTTCTACTACTTTGCTAAACTGTATGATCAAATCTGTTTCCCTCCTTACTCATTATTCATTTAGGCTGTAATTAAAGTTATCTTTTTGTTGAACAGTTCTGGTGACTGTACAACTACATAGATGTACTCTACAACTTTCCAGCCTGACATATGTTTTGTGTTGACACCTTTTGATGATTACTCCTCAACTAACAAGCCAAACGTATTTTAAATCTCAAATTCTTCATATTTTCAATACTGCAGAGCAAACAAATAAACAACAGTGGCTCTATGTCTCTAACCACTCCACCATCTGAACAGAGTAAGCATGGCTTATTCTAGTCACCAAAGGAGAAAGAGTTCTGCTCAACTTTTTATATTCATAAATGTCAGTGATTTAAGCTTAAGAAACAAAAAATGTAAATTAGACATTGTAACATACAAAACGAATTTAGCTTTGACAGGCTAAGCAGAGATTTTTATGGAGAGCCTAGTCATACACATACAGAACACATTTTAGCTTTCAAATATATTTAAAAAAATGTGTAATTTGAAGCTGTACCGCAGTCATAATGAAAAATTCTTTACAATTACAATTTTGACTTATGGAACAATGGACACCCCCATATCATATTGTATCAGGTAATTACGAACTGCCAAGGAGTAAGAAAGCACAACCCGAGAAGAATCAATTTAACCCCCACAGTGTGTACCGTAATTCAGTACCTCATTTCTCAAGTACCTCCTATCAAACCATTCATTCTCATTTCCTAGGCACAGATAAAAAGAAAAAAAAAAACCCAACCGAGTTAATCAAACCTTTTCATGACAGAGACAGCTTCTCAGAGCACATACCCAGGTTTGGAAGTTGAGGAGGAGGAAGAAGGAAAGGGGGGGAATCAGATTAAAGTGAATGGCAGCTCGTTCAATGAAATCTTGTAGCCGCTTTCAAACCAGACCAGTGCCATACGTTCACCTAAAAGGGCTGGGGGGCGGACGACTGTTCTGCAGCGGGGCAGTGCTGGGCAGGGCAGGATCGTGGAGCCTGGTTTAGGAACACGATGATTTGCGAGAGACACTTCCTACAGGGGTCGGGTAACAGGCAGCCCAGCAGCGAGGAGGCGTTTCTCCGGCCGGGAAGATGCTGGGGCTGAGAAGCGTGTGTGCTCGCGTGTGCTGCACGGCCTGGCCTCCCGCGCTGTTCTGCCCACGGATTGCGATCGCCCAGCCGGGGCCCAGGCAGGAGCCGGAGGGGGGGACACACAGCATCTGCCTGCCTAGCCAGCCCGACCGCTCCCAGGCCATGTCCAGCCTGACCCCACTGCTGCGCCTCTCTCACCCGGCGGCGGAGGCACGGCTCGGGCTGGCGAGCTGGGGTCTCGGAGGAGCCCTCGCAGCAGCCCCAGCGCGCTGGCCCCGGCGGGGGAGGATGGGCTGGGACAGAGCGCGCCCCCTGCCCCTCCCCTGGCGGGCTGTGTGCGTGTGAGCGCAGGGCGGGCGGGGGTCCGCGTGGGGCGGGGGGATGCTGATGAGCAGGGACGCGAGAGAAGCCCCCAGCGCCTGAGCCGGAGCCGCGGCGGATTCGGTGGCCGTGGAAGCCCCGCCCGCTCCCGGAGCCGGGGGCCGTCCTACCCCCCTCCGCCTTCCACCCCCTCGGCTCCAGCCGCTCCGCAGAAGGAGCGGGGCTGGCTGGCGCGCTCGCTCGCTCCCTCTCCCTCTCTCTCTCTCCCAAACACACGCACCAGGCTCTCCCTCGCTCGCCCATGCAGACAGCAGCCGGAGCGGCGGAAGATGGCTGACTCCACAGGGCATCACCCACCCTCCAGCCCGCCTGCATCCCCGACCCTCCCCGCGCCGCTCTCGCCTCCGACACTCCCTCACGCCAGCTTCCACCGCTGAGCCAGCGACCCCCGCCCAGCCCCGCCGCCCTCCCCACTTCTGCTTCCCAGCCCCCCCACGACACCAGCAGCCATTTCATCTCCACCAGCCAGACACAAAAAATGGCAGAAATGGAGAAAGAAGGGAGACCTCCCGAAAATAAAAGAAGCAGGAAGCCGGCTCACCCGGTGAAAAGGGAAATCAACGAGGAGATGAAGGTATGTGCCTGTGAGGGGGAAGGGGGGCGCCTCTGCCCCCCCTCCTCCACCGGGCAGGGCAGTGAAATAAGAAAGGATCTCTTGTCATTTTTTTGGTAGGATGCACTGAATGTGTCTCAACTCCGCCTCCTGGGCTGAAAACAGAGCCGGATTCACAGGCTGCAAAGCCAGCTCATTGACCGCCTTTGATTGCTTGATTTTTTTTTTTAAACTCTCCCTCCTTGGGATTTTAGGCTCCTTGGGTGCATTTTCTATTACAATCCTCGCAGGTTAGCCGGAAAGCTGTGAAGTTAGGGGAGGAGGGAGGGCTTTTTCAACACTGGCTTTCTCTCCTTTTTCAGTAGCCAGCTGCAACCGTGTAATTAAAATGTCAAAGTGAAATGTTATGGTCTGAGCTGCACATCATTTTTGGACTTAGAGACAGGGACTCTCTCTCCTCCCCCCCCCCCCTTCTTCCTTGCTCCTATGTTCTACATGCCTCACTTCACAGTTAATCAAAGCAGCATAGGTGCTGTTGAAAGAGAGCTGTCCGAGGGGCTGTTGTTGATAGGAGTCTATTTATTGTTTGGAGTCTATTCCTATCTGATAGGAAACTGTGCCAATCCAGCTGTTTTCCAGAGGTAGCGCTGGAGGCTGTCCCTCCAGCTGTTAGAATGGGAGCGATTGCACAAAAACACATTTCAGGATTTCTTTTAGCATTAAGTCGCAGTTCTAGGTTGGACTTGTCCTATTTTGTGCCTTTATTTTCCATGTCTATTCCCTGACCTGTATTTATTTTATACCTCTGATGTATTTTCCCCATGAGTCATACACAACTAGCACGTATTGCAGGACTTCAGCTGAACTTACTTTTTTAAAATGCAAGTATAAATTAAAACAATTGTTTTAATTGTTATATAATGATAAAACTACCATTATTTAATTTAAATGGGTAATTTATACTAAAATAGAATGTCACTGGAATATTGCTGTGAAAATGTCATTATAGATGTCATTCTATATATATAGAAACATACCTGTTAACAAGACATTTTATAATATAGCATTGATTTTCACCCAGTATTAAAGGGGAATGCTGGATACAATTCCTCCCCCACTCCCTTCAAACTGCATTACTAATTTGACTAGATATTCTTTACTGGTTAAGGTAGGCATTCTCTTTTCCATATTGTCTGTGTCCTGGAAATGTGGACTAAGGTAGTATTAGTGGTATGAACAAAATAAGGGCTAACTGATAATAAAGAGTTGCCACTGATATCCAGGGCAAACCACTCTAGATTCCACCCCCAGAGAGCGTTATTGTTTCTTTGAGAGATTTGTGACACTTCCTATTTTCAGATGGGACTTTCTAAAGGCTGTGGATAGTAACAGTAATTGCTCCTCATGATCACATAGTTTTGGGAGCTGCACAAATCTATCACATTTTAAAACACCACTTAATGCGATATATATGGAGTGCCGTTTTTAAGTTTCATAGGTTCTAGAATTACAAATTAGTTAATTTTAATCACAACATGTGAAATGTTATCCTGGCTGGATATAAAGGCTGACTGTGCTGGATCCTTTGGGTTTGTTTTGTTTACTTTGGCTGCAGGCACACTCAGTGGTTTGGGAGATAGTTGTTCTTCTACAGTATAACAGATGTTTGTCTGAAATGGTGAGGAAGAAACAAAAACAACATTGTGTGAAGGAGAAAAATTACACAATTTTAAACTATTGCTTTGGTATTAAGGATTGGAATTAACTTTGATGTAGAGTTTCGCTTTCGTAATCATTGTTTTCTGTTTAACGTTACAAACCTCAGGATTTTAACTGTATTAATAATTAAATCACAAGTTTTATGCTGATATGATTGGAATTTAGAACAGATTCTTTTTTTTCTGAGCTGGGGTAAGGTAAATGTTGGCAGTAGCTTTCACAAAGCACAGATCACCTACTAGTGCAAATTATGCTATTGAGCTAGGAGACCACATTTTTAGTAAGAGCAGTTGGTTCTTATAATCGTCTAACTATAATCAAAGAAAAAACTTAAGAAGTTTGCATATTTGTGCTGTTTAGAATGTTAAGAACTGTGGGAGGGTTCATTGTCTTTCCTGATATATTTTTGCATTTAATAAAAATCTGTTCTAGGTTCTTTTTTCATAAACCTGAAGAGTACAGTAACATATATTGGTTACACTGTATAAAATGTGTGCAACAAAATGTCATAGAGAGCACAATGTGCCCTTTTGTAGGTTCATATCTATAATGTTCAAACAGCCTGACTGTTTCCCTTCATCTGAACTGCTTTCATCTGGACCAGTGTAAAATAAGCTCTGGTAAGTAATCACGGCAGAGCAGAAAGAAAGGAATGTATACAGCAATAGACAGCCTAAGCTGTAAAAACTGTAACCTGAGTACCAGCAGCAGATCAGATATCAAGGCTTCAAGGTAGGGGAAATGAAAGAGATGAAGGGGAGGAAAAGACGAGAGAGGGAATGGAAAAGTCAGCTTGGAAAGTGAAGGAGTAGTAGGAGGGCCCCCTCAGGGAAATTTGGCTCAGGGATTAGGGAATTTTATCATGGTGTACAGTGACCTACTCAGGTTTCAGCCCACGTTGGATCAAATTGCTTCCCTTTGCTAGCAGAAAGAAAAAGGACTGGTGTATATGTGATTTTTTTCTTCGGGTAATAAAAAGGCCATTGGTACAAGTGTCTATTTTAAGTTCAGCAAATGCAAGGCACTATGAATGAGCAATAAAATTACCTCATCACAAAGACTTCCTTCATGATTTGCTGTTTGATATAGTCACATATTTACTCAAGAGTGATCACTAAACCCAAACTGCTCCGTTTTCATAGGTTGCATCAGTAATGTTACTTCCAGCTCAGTTTTAATTTGATTGGAAACTCGTGTTGCTTGCTGTTTCATTATGCCAGTTATTAAGTTACATTTTTGTTATCCCTAGCCCAATGTACATGACGGTTGTAACAAATTTAAATTTGATACAACATTGTGTGCAAAAAATACATGACTCTGCATAGTTTCCCTATATTACGTTTCAATTAAAAAATATTCAGATAGAAGTGTTTTGTTTCCCTGTGACCTTCACAGTTTCTCTCTTTTCCCTGATTTATTTTTCTGTCCTTCTTTCTTATATTCTCTTTTTCCCCCTCAGATTATACTTCCTACTTATCTTCAGAGATGGGTGTTCATATGCCAACAAATTGTTATTCTGAAACTAAGTCAGTGTCATTTATCACTTTGGTACTTTTCAGTGATTATTATGAATAATACAACATGTATTCTATTCAGGAATATAATGTAATCAAGGCAATCTGACACTTTAAAAAACTAGTTTAATTGTTACAGCCTAATCAATACATTAGTCTCTAAAGCCTTGGTACAGCTCTATACCTCATTCTTTCCTCCCCTCCCCATATATTCCCTCTACCCAGACTTACTTTCATGTGCTATACTACTGGGGGTAGCAGGAAAACTTAAGAATGTGAAAAAGGTGATTTGAAATATATTTTATTAAATTTGCAAGAATAAATTAATGTGATTGCATCAAGCATATTGTGCTGGAAGCTCTGATAAACAAACAAGACAATTTATCTACATGTTTAGATTTTTTGTCAATTGCAAAGTTAGCGATTAATTTGTGTTATAATTTCAGAGAGCTGCCTCCATGTGCCCTAGGGGTTTACCATCTATAAATATTCTCAATAAGTAATTTGTACCTAAAACTGGGCTTCCTTCCTGATGCCTAGAGCTTAAGACATCTGTTATAGTTTAACAGTAAACTCATCAAAAGATTCTTCAATTTAATGTTCTAATATTTCCCGTATTTAAAAGGACCACTGTCAAAATGTAACAGACACTGCAGCGCTGACTGCATTTGAAAAGGTTCTAGGGGAAACTCCTCCCTTCTCTCCTGAAAAGCAAAAAATGTGTTTGTAAAAGTAAAATCAGATAGCCTTTATCAATTGTACTATTCCAGGGCACTGTTACTATACCGTTTTTATGGAAATAGATTTATGAGATATCTACAGAGTGAATTGTATTACCTGCATGAGAGACCTGCACCTATCCTCTTTAACAGGTCTGTGTATTAACTGTTTATACAAATGAGGTTGATAAATTCCACCTTACAACACTAATAAAAGGGTGGCTGAGTGAGAAAAAAGGAAATTAAAGAAAGGTCAGGAAAATTTACTTATTGACAGTATAATATTCAAAATGGTGGCAATGCAAATGAGCAGAGAAAATGTGGACTGGAAGAAAAGTGATCAAGTTCATGTGGTGAATATACACACATTTTAATTTCCTTTATATACTTGAGGTGAATCCTCAGTGCTGTATATCTGGTGGGTCATTCATGCAAGGAAATGGAATGGAGCCACTCTGCTTCCTCCAAAATCTGAAATAAACATTCAACAGTAAAACCTAGAAGAAAATTAGTCTGACAGACTCATTCTCTTTTGTGTTTCCTGCCTCTGTCTTTGCCAGGCCTCACTCTATGAAGCCAGGACAGTCACTGTGAATAAGGTTCATAGAGAAGGAGAGAAAATAGAGAGAAAATTGAAGGAAAAACACCATTTCGTTTTAAAATATAGCCATTAGTAAAAATTTGGGAAAACTGTACTCTGTGAAGTAAGGTCAAACCTTAGGTATGTGATTACAATGAAATGAATCCTGTAAAGGGAATCAATGTTAATGGAGATAAGATTTCTGTTGCCTCATATTGTTAGTCTCATAAAAGAAATCACAGACATTCAGATCCATAAAATCTTCTTCCCACTTCCTATGAATGAGAAGTAAATTCACTTCAAATTACAATCTAACATAATGATACAGTTTTTCGAAGAGGAAGATAGGAGGGTATTTCTGTGTGGTACAAGAATAAAGAAATGATCCCGTTAGAACATGCAGTCAAATCACTGCAGAATTGCAATTTGTGGCTTTGGACTCACAGGGGGCAAAAAAGAAGATATATATATTAGGAGTTGAAGACTTTAGGGTATTGTTATTACATAACCAAGGGCTTCTGGAATACTACAGCATTTTAAGGCCAATTTCTTTGGCAAAGATGAGTCTGTTGCAAATCTTAGTAAATTCCATGGCAGTTAAGCAGATGTGATAGCACACAGCTGCACACCTACATTGTCAGCTAACATAATCCAGGAGATTTCACTTTAGCCATTCTGTGGGATTTAATTGATTCTTTCAATGCACTAGGAAATACAGCTCAAGAGATTATCAACTACTTGGGATAATAGATATATGGAGTAGGCCATGACAAAAAAATGAGCATTGTCTAGTGGTCCGAGTATGGAGGGACATAGAGTCAGGAGTTCTGAGTTCTTACTCTCAGCTGTGTCACTGATTTATTGCATTACCACGGGTATTAATCAGCCACTTTGTACCTCAATTTACCCATATGTGAAATTAATATTATCATGATTCCCTATCTCAGCGGGGTTTTGTGAAGTGTAAGGCCCCAGTCTTGCAATCAAATCTGCTAGCACAGTGATCTGCACCAGTGCAGAACTCCAGTGGGGTTCAATAGGTCTCCACATAGTCTTTGGGGTCCATGCTAATATTGCATAATAGGGACCCAATTGATTAATGAATGACATCCTGGTGTGGAGGACCTGCATGAGGTCCTCTAGACCACTCCAGCCTCCCAGTGGGGCCAGACAGTTGGGCATGCTGGCAGAGCAGCCAAGCAAAGGGCCTCTGCTCCCCATCCCCCTACACCAGAAGGTAGGTCTCTGTCCTGCTTTGACATAGATCACTGTGGAGATTATCAATTGAATGGGTTAGGAGCGTGGCCCCTGTATCTATTATATATGGATCCAGTGGCCCTATCACCCTGCACAAATGGGATAGAAGCTCTGTTTCCACTGTTTGGCCCATAGACTGAAGTAGACACCATTGGTGCATCGCCAGAGACTCATCCTGAGTGGAGGATGGATTTTATCTCACTCCCTCTTACCCACCATACTGCATCGGGATAAAGTCTGATTACACAGCCTTTATTCTGGCACCATAATATTTAGAATATCTCTTTGAGAACCTCAGATGAATGTGCTACAGGAGTGCAAAGCATTATAATTTAAACACTACAGGTCACAGAAAACCACCACAAGATACAGCTATGCATTATGTACTCCGGCCCATATTTTTGTGATTTTCCAGTGCTCAGTGGTTTGAGCATTGGCCTGCTAAACCCAGGGTTGTGAGTTCAATCCTTGAGGGGGCCACCTAGGGATCTGGGGCAAAATTGGTACTTGGTCCTGCTAGTGAAGGCAGGGGGCTGGACTCGATGACCTTTCAAGGTCCCTTCCAGTTCTAGGAGATAGGATATCTCCATTAATTTAAATTTAATTTATAAGAACAGCCATACTGGGTCAGACCAATGGTCCATGTAGCCCAGTGTCCTGTCTTCTGACAGTAGCCAATGCCAGGTGCTTTAGAGAGAATTAACAGAACAGGCAATCTTTGAGCGATCCATCCCCTGTCATCCACTATCAGCTTCTGGCAATCAAAGGCTAGGGACACGCAGAGCATGGGGTTGCATCCCTAACTATTTTGGCTAATAGCCATTGATGGATCTATCCTCCATGAACTTATCTAGTTCTTTTTTGAACCCTGTTATAGTTTTGGCCTTCCTAACATCTCCTGGCAATGAATTCCACAGGTTGTCTGTGCTTTGTTTGAATACTTCCTTTTGTTTGTTTTAAACCTGCAGCCTAATAGTTTCATTGGGTGATCCCTGGTACTTGTGTTGTGTGAAGAAGTAAATAACACGTCCTTATTCACTTTCTCTACACTAGTCACAATTTTATACACTTCTACCATATCTCCTCTTAGTCATCTCTTTTCCAAGCTGAAAAGTCCCAGTCTTTTAAATCTCTCCTTATTAATGTCTCCCCTTAATCATTTTTGTCGACCTTCCCTGAACCTTTTTCAATTCTAACATATCTTTCATGAGATGGGGTGATCAGAACTGCACTAACACTACACATGATTAAATGGATGTTTTCAGAGAAGTAGCCACAATGACTCCAAGATCTTTTTCTTGAGTGGTAACAACTAATTTAGACCCCAGCATTTTGTATGTGTACTTGGGATTATGTTTTCTAAAGTGCATTACATTGCATTGATCAACATTGAATTTCATCTGCCATTTTGTTGCCCAGTCATCCAGAAGTATTCAAAGGTTTGGCACTCACCATAACCCAGATTTTACTATATTGACTTTTCAGTCCTCTGTTGGGCAGGTATTTCTGAGGACACAACTCAGGCTTAATGTGGACAAAACTGAGCTCTTAATTCTTCCCCAAAACCTTCCCTCTTACTCCTTTCTTAGTCACTGTCACTCAGACACCACCGCTTCCTCCTCCCTATCACTCAGGCCTATAAACAAGGTGCCATCTTTGACTCAGCCCTCTTTCTAGACCCACACATCCAACTGTGCCTACGTCTTGCTGCTGCAGGAAAAATAATCTTTGTGGCTCATCACTTTGACCATGTTATCCACCTCATTGCATCCCTCCACTGATTCCCCCTTCTCTATTGCATCAAGCACAAACTACCTGTCTTTATTTTTAAGGCCCATTATGGTCTATTCTCACCTTAACTATCATTTCTTTTATGCTATAGAGACATAAGACCCCCACATTTGCTTCACCATTGATTGTCCATTTGTCAGATTTTCAGAAGAGTACCATCAGGCTGTCCCACATGCTAAGCCCTGTAAAATCCACAAGGTCACTACATTATCTTCCTTTACATTTCTCCTTAATACCCACCCATATCATAATGCCTAGAGAACACTTGACAATGATTAGGCAATTGCTGTGCTGTGACTGCTGATTATTCATAACTCTCTTTTTGTTTCCTCGTGCTTTGTTTGTCACATTCACACCATCTTAAACTTTATTATTATGGTTATTACTTATCTGTATTACTGTAGCCCTTAGAACCACGGACCAGGACCCCATTGTGGTAAGTGCTCTACAAACAGAACACAAAGACATAGTTTGTAAGCTCTTTGGGGAGTCTAAGAAACAACAGATGGATACAAGCAGACAAGGGAGTACAAGGAAACAATGAGACAATATTGGTCAGCATGATCGACAGTAGTATCAGCACACCTGCAGTCTAGTCATTGTCAATTTTTTTTGCAGCCATCATGGAAAAATAGAATCTTAAGAAAAGATTTGAAGGAGGATAATGAGGTGCTTTGTGACTAATTACAGGGATCCCCTTCCAAGAGAGGCAGCATGGAAAAAAGCAAGCAGGTGCTTCCAGACTTTGACTGTAAGCTCTTTGAGGCAGGGACCACATAGCACAATGGAGCCCTGGTCTTTAGGTGCTACAACAATACTAATATTAAAATATAATAATCAAAATAAATACGATGAATTAATTTTGAGTTGTTTTTAATCAAAGGGACTTTTAAAAATAATATTTTAAAAAGATTTTTCACTCATGTTGCCAATAACATAGGACCAAATCCTACTTCCATTGAAATTAATAGCAAAAGAACAGTTGACTTCACTAGAAATAGGATCAGGTCTTTGGCTTTATTAAAATTAATAGAATTTTAAAATCACATTTACTTTTCACCATGTCACTGTTTACTTTTTGCACTTCACTCAGCTTGGATAGTGAAACTAGGCTGGTTCAATTTGTCTAGAGTTACTTAACCTTTGTGACAATGTGGGCCATTACTATCATCTTGGCTGGATCCTAAAGGCTGCAACTAATTTGTATATAGATTTATTTTCATTTTAAAAGTAAAGAATAAATGCCTACAGCCTTTATTTACATATTCCCTGACAAGTGATTAGAAATTACAGTACTCAACGGTTGAGTTCATCAACAAAGCATCCACTGGAGCTACTGAAGTTAATTGAGGTTTAAGTTAGGATCGAGTCTGGCATCTGGATTCTATCCTGTTAGGTTGGTCTTTCAGGGCTGTGTTTCCATAGTTGCAGTGTAGGAAACCAATGGAAGGCTGCATTTGCAAGGCTGTACTTCTGGGCAGGTTCCATGGACCCAATCAGTTCAGAGGCTACATTTTGAGCAAACTTGGTTTATTTAGTTTCACTTTCAGTTTCTAGTCAATTTCATTTTCTGGTTCATGATGCCTTAGCATAATACTGCTGTTTTGGGGATTTCAACATTTCAGGTGAAGTTTAATTTAAAAAAATGTTTATTGTGATTTTATTCAATCTGCTGCTTACCCACCTTCAGGCATTGTACCAGGGTCAGTAATTTATTTCAGTTGAAATGGCTGTAGCATAGTGAGATTGATTGCTGAAAAAAATCTTTGTTTTTTCTGCTGAAATGTTAAATATTTTATGATAGCATGAGACAAACTTTTGTGAATAATATATTCTAAAAACATAAGTGACTTCCAATTCCTGAGCAAAAATCATAAACAATCCTCTTTTTTCCTTATTTTCTTTAAATTACAATAAAATAAAGGTCTGTCATAATTATGTGTATCACTGAGATTTAAATGCATTACATATTATATACTAGATTTGAAAAATGAACATTAGTCTGGAGGAGGTGGAACAAACTTGGCAGTTCATGGTACACTGCAAATAGAATTCAATTTATGCATTCATCTCTTCGTTCCAAATGATTATTGATTACATAAATAAGTAGGCAATTCTTCTCTTTCAGAACTTTGCAGAAAACACTATGAATGAGCTCCTTGGCTGGTATGGTTATGATAAGGTTGAATTGAAAGATGGAGAAGATATTGAATTCAGGAACTACTCTGCAGATGGGGAGAGCCGGCAGCACATTTCTGTTCTCAAAGGTAATGACATTTAATGTTCCTTTGTTCATGCAAAGAAGGATTAACTATCGCAACCTGCCAGAAATGGCTTGCACTGGGATTCATGTTTTGTTGCTTATTCTGTGGCTGATTTAAATATACATCTCTGACAGTGCCTTCCAGTAAGCAGAAAGCAATAGAATACAAGTGTACAACATTTAACAACATAGCAGCTAATATGGCCTTACTAATGTATCTCCAACAGTAACATTTTTTGAGCCAATTGAAACTCATGCACCCAAGATTCCAAGGAGCTGCCAACAAGTTTTTTTTTTTTTTAAAGGAAATGTGGAAATGTTTTCTTAGCAGTCTGGGTCTAATGAACCTTCCTTCTGACAAAATTGTTGGGCTGAGGCTTTTGATAAGGTCAGATGTTGAACTAGAATGTGCAGAATGTATGAAAGAGCCATGAGTAGTATTTATAAAGGTTAACTTAATAATGTTTTTTATTTTAATATATTATTTCCTGAAAGTGCATTAGAAAGGCTTAAGGGGCGGAGCTTGTTTGGGTTCAGCATATCTGGTCCTTCATGTACTGTATATAAATTTGTTCAAAATCTAAACAATGGGATTCAGTCTTTTTGTTCAGCAGTTCAGTTGCTACCTTTTGACTCTTCAGCCACACCAGATGGATAGGGAATTGCAATCACAGTGAAAAGAAGAGCATTTCTTCAGAGTAAAAGAGTAGAAAATTGCTGGATCTTGACTTATCCAACAAGAATTTCTCAAAGCTGAGGTAAAAGAGAGAAAATTACAGAGGCTTTGCACTGTTGAACTGCAACATTCCGCTGCATATATGGCCACCAGTCTCTGGGGTTTCTTTATGGTGGCATGCAGCAGCATTGTATTCAGTGGGGCTTGATATGAATACTGGCAACAAAGAGCCCAATACTGGAGGAGAGGGTGCTAGATAAAAGGTGGAAAAAGTAGAGGTAAGATAAAAGAATTTAATTGTATAGACATTAAATGTTTGCAGCCATTAGTTGTATATGTTATTGATACAGTAATTAGTATTTGTATTCCATTTAAAATATAATATGTGTAAGCCATCTTTAAAATAACTTGTTCCTATGTCCAATGTATTTTATTTTCTTCTTACATTTTAATAAACAAACCTTACATGGGATTCTCTACAGCCACAATCTATGAGGAATCAAATTTGTGGCACAGTTTAAGAATAAGTCTTTATAGTATTTTGCTCACCATGTAAAATAGATAGGATCATATGTATAATTTTAAACACATGACACAAGTCATATGTTTTGTAGTACAAACAAAGATGCTGAATACCTGTGCCAGGTAGAAATCTTTGGCTTACAGAGTCTTTAGGGGAAAAAGTACTTTGCTTTTGTTGTGAAAAGAGGAAGAGCTATTCTAGGATCTTATTAAATCCTGTTCCTTAGTGAGTTAAAGTACAGTAGAGAAATGCCTGTAAATAAGAGTTCAAATGTGGTTTTGTATTAAAGAATTACAATTATAACAACATTTAGCAAATATTTTTCTAAAATTTCAATTTTTTTGTTATTTTCTTTATCTTCTTTTCCATTATTACTAGTTATTGGAGTGGAATAAAAGGTTCTCTTATTTAATCAGTCTACTCCTTTTGCATAATTCATCCGATGACACCACAATCCAGTGTGTGACATCACAATTCACTGCCATGAAAATAATTGATTTCAAAGACAGTGGAGTGTGATGTCACTGAATAAATTGGGCATACTCAGGCCATGTAAAAGAAAGAGAGCCTGATTTTTTAAAACAGTACAGCAAAGTTTAATGCAGTTTTTAAAATTTTGCTGGAACGTGGTAGAGGCTTTTGAAGGAGAAAATATTTTCATTTTTATTGTTTGCTCTTTTTGTTTTAGAAAAATATTATATCAGATTAGTGAAAATATGTAGGGGCACCTAAGCCACACTTCTGCCATACTGTATGATTTGTTCTTTTTCTTTTACAGAAAATTCTTTGCCAAAACCAAAATTACTTGAGGACAGTGTTATTTCACCATACAATATAAACACAAGCTATCCAGGGCTTGCCACAGGAAATGGACTTTCAGACTCACCAGCAGGGTCAAAGGATCATGGGAATGTACCCATTATTGTACCATTAATTCCACCACCTTTCATAAAGCCACCAGCAGGTAAATCACATAACAAACATTTTAAAGAATTATAACTATCGTAGATAGCTATTCTGACCTTGTTAGATTGCGGCTCATTTGTAAAAGGTTTAATTTAATTTTTTTGAAAGGCTGTCACAGTAGACTTATAAGGATCCTTAGGTAGGAAGCAGCAGAGTGACTTTATTTGCTAGTATTATTGTAAAATTCTTGTCAGTATCATGGCAGGCAAAATTCTGTACCTATTTATATTGCTTGTGAAACTCTGGAAGTTGAATTATACTGTCTCAGCAATTCATAGATTCATAGATTCTAGGACTGGAAAGGACCTCGAGAGATCATCGAGTCCAGTCCCCAGCCCTCATGGCAGGACCAAATACTGTCTAGACCATCCCTGACAGACATTTATCTAACCTACTCTTAAATATCTCCAGAGATGGAGATTCCACAACCTCCCTAGGCAATTTATTCCAGTGTTTAAACACCCTGTCAGTTAGGAACTTTTTCCTAATATCCAACCTAAACCTCCCTTGCTGCAGTTTAAGCCCATTGCTTCTTGTTCTATCCTTAGATATTCAACAATATCTGTTTTAAACAAATGATTTCATCCCAGAAGACTGTCTCAGTTCTCATTGAAATTCTGGACCATTGTCCTTTGGGGATTTTATATGATGCAAATGCTATTCCTAGAGATTGTACTGAAATGTTTTAAAAATTCCATGAAATTCTTATCTGGAGCAATTTTTCCAACATGAATTTTCTCAGAGTTAGTTTGAGAAATTATTTATTCCATACTGCATGCTGTTTACTATTATCTGCTAAAGTAACTGTTATGGCTACACTAGTGTATATAATTGCTGTTATTATTTACTGTCGAACACACTTCAATAATTGATGAATTTATATAGCAGCAGGCTCAATCCTGCTTCCATTGAAGTTACTGGGAGTGTTGTTGAACTGGGTTAACGTCACTGGGGGTAGAACTGGACCTAGAATGTACTAAATATGTATCAAAGAACATCACTATTTCTTTATTAGAGAATTCAGGAACATGGTGATGTATTTAATTATTAAGGTCCCAGTCATGCAATGGATTCCTGCACCCATACAGAGCCCCTCTGACACTGGGCAGAGCAGCTTGCAGGATCAGGGGCCAAGTGTGGAATGGCCTTCTCTACACTTCAACACATTTACAAAAGTTTAATTTAAAATACATATCTATTTTTGTGTTAATATTTTATTTGACAGGAAGCTGACAGTTGGTCTCCTGAATTATTTTATTGCCATTTCATTTTTAGTATTAAAGGGTATTTTAATATTTTGAAAAAATTTCAAACATATTATTAAATCTATTCTTGCCAAAAATTTTCCATATATTTTGTACAATTATTGCTAATTACCAGAGCTATTTGGGCCCGCTCCTTCAGCCTTTGCACAGCAAAAGATCTCAGCCATATGGGCTGAATCTTAAAATGGGGTTAATCTGCCCCTGAACATTTAATCAAGGGCTTGTATTTCCCAGGCTATCTTCTCTTTCAATTTGATTCAAGACTGAAGTCATAATGCTGAATTTTGTGGCAACACTATTATGTTATTATAACACAGGGCTATGACATGAATTGTGCATGCTGTCATAATTGATGAATTTAAATAACAGCAATCAAGCAGGAAAAGATAGGCTATGCCGTCGAAAAACAAATAACCTCAACCATAGCAATGGGGACACAGGAAAATACTGGCCAAGCAGATTTATTTCTGCTCTTCCCCCATCCACTTACCAAGTGTGTTCCAGAGTCCACCAATAAAACTGACCTTCAAAGTATTTTTTAAAATTGTTCCTCCCACCATGCTTTTGGTACTTTATGATGTATAACTAAGATCTGAAGGTAGGGTTTTTTTTAAGGTATTTTCTCTATTTTTTTAAACCTTTTTTGCCTTACAAATATTATGATGCCAAGTCTGATCTGTCATGTTCCTGTTTGAGAACTTTTGGGTGTCTTGGAGAAGTGTATCATGAGCTCTTTCACTATCTGAAGGGGCTGGAGTATTGAATATGTAACAAAGTTATCTTTCTCCCAAGTGTTCACTGTGCAATAAATATGATTTTTTTTTTGAAAACCAAATGAAAACCTAAAGAGTTTTAAATAGTCTGCCCAAACTCACCTCACCTCTCAACTGTTCAACTTTTAATATGAACTTAATAAAATACTAGATGCTTTTAAAATTTTACCCCAGATACAAGTGTGAATGTACAAAACTGAAAATTCCCAAGTTGATGGCCCTTCCCTGAGAATACTCTTCCCCGAAACATTTAATTCTAGACACTATTATCAAGAATACCTCAGCTGACCTGATCTGCTGGGGAAGCATGTTAGAAAAGAAACAGACTCAGCCAGCACCCAAATCATACAGGCTTTGTAGATCAACATCAAGAACTTAAATTGCACCTGGAAGCAAACAGTAAGTGAGTGCAGTTTTGAGAGAAGTGGTGCAATATGCTTCTTGTGGCTAATGTCCCCAAACAGGTGGGTAGCTGCATTTTGTGCCAGCTGCAGCTTCTGAATGATGTTTCAAGTTAGTCCCAAGTACAGCATATTGAAACAATATGATACCAATAATAAAATTACTTCTACCTAGCCTTAGAAAAATCTTGTGTTCCACAGACCAATGTAAAAGGAAAAGAGAATTTATTTCTACACAATAACAAATGATGTCAAAATAACAAGGAACAAGGTATAGCAGCCAGCAACATTACAGAAAAAGAATAATATTTGTACTGGAACCATGATGCTAGTATTTAATGTACTAACATACTAACCTGTATTCTGCAGTCTTTAGTCACACACTGAATAGTATTTTCTCACCTTCAGCTAATAGGATTATTCACATGAGTAGGGGTTGCAGAGTCTGGCCCCAAAATGCAGGAGAGAACACATTTCCTTCCCACTGGCTCTTCACTTGTAGAGATTTCACTGTTTCAGGTACTCTAGTCATACCAGATGTTCTCTTTGGCTCTCTCCCTCTCAAAGTCCTCACAGTGGGGAGCATTAACTCTCTGTGCCTCTGTAGGACTGATGGAGTACTAAACCCCCAATGCTTCTTCTGTGGGCCACTCTGAACAGCTTGAAGATCCCAATTGTGTCTCACCCTGAATTGTTCCACTACAGGCAAACACAACCAAGTCCTATTACTATGACATTGCTTTAGTCTAGAATTTAGCTTATATGTGCCAGTGTTGCATCCTCAAGTGTTTTTTGCTGTCACTTTTATGGTCATTTACAGCATTCCTTGTACATCTAAAACTTCCTTTGACTCTCAATCTAAAGGGTAGGGCCCTTCAACAGTTCTCCAACTGCAGCTCCTCATGCTCTCAGATATGGAATTCTGGCCAAGTAAAGAACCATCACTTTAGTTGTGTGTATATGTTGGCAACATCAACATTTCCTGTTAGATTACGTGCTCAGTTTGGATTCAATCCCAAACCCATTGAATTCTGTAGGAACCTTTCCATTGATTTCAGTGAATGTTGGATTGGATCCTTATTGCCTGGCATCATAGCCCAAATGGAGGTGCGGAGATGCCCCACCCCAAAGGGAGCTTTTGGAAGCACAATTGCTCCACAAGAAAAGGGGAACGTTGCCACTGTGCCACCCCTTGTATTGGGTGCAGTATGTGCTGCCAACCAGTCCATGTGGGGCTGGCTATATGAGGGAGGGGGGCAGAGTCTTGGCCCTTTCGGGAAGGGGTGCAACAGCAGGGGAGCAGAAGGACTGCCATTGTGCCTGGGGCATGCACAGGGGTGCAGGGAATAACGTTCCTTCCCCCACCCTCTTCTCTATGCCTCTGTTTTATAGAATAAATCAGTTATTTTAAGTAGCTTTGACTCTGCTCAAACAACAGCTGGCTCCCTGCTACGCTGCACTGAGTGGGGAAGCAGTTGTCAAGGGGAGCAATGAAAGGGAAGGAGGACTGCTTCTGAGCTGACCTAGCATCCAAAGGGCAAAAATACAGGGATAAAATGATCTCCTATTCACCCCCCCACACACGATAGTTTATATTTTTTTGGGAGGGATCTTAAATCCTCCAAGCCCTTGAACGGTGCCAGCTCTGTTCCTCTGCACCACATTTCTTCACTTAGTAATTTCAAAATGATAAGGACTGCTGTTGCACTGAAAGGTTTGCAACCATCAAGGCATTTAAAAAAAAGTGTGATGTATAATGTCTGACCCTACAAAACTGTTATCACTATTATTGTGGCCCAAAGAATACCAGAGTGAAGGAGATAAGGTCTCCTGAGGCCAAACAAAAGCATTTCTAATATCTGGGTCCTGTAAAGTAAGCATGTTTAGATTTTGGAAGTGACATTAAATCGGATTATAAAACTGTATATTTGAAAAAAAATCATGAAAACTTGGAAGAAGGAAATGTTATGTTTGAATGCTAAGATGAATAACTAAGAGAGGTATTTTATAGAAATAAATGAGCTATATCCTTAATCAGAGCTGGATATTTGAATGGAAGTTTACAATTTTGTTACAAGTGCACTTAGGTAACTCAGACTCATTATTATTATAACAGAGTACCTGCAATGCATAAAAGTAGACATTAGTTCTAGCCCTAAGGACTCTCTAGAAATGTGTGCTGTAAAAATTATCAAGATTCAAATGCTATAGGAAGAATTTAGAAGTATGGGATGAATTTTAAAATGCTTTCTATCCAGGGTTTATAAACTTGGTTGTAAAAATTAACTTCAAGATTACCTATTTAAATTCCCCATGGTCCCATAACTGTATTCCCAATCCTTCCGTCCTTACTCAGGCACAGCTCAATGGCAGTTTTGCTTAAATAATGGCTGCAGGACTAGCCCTAATTTTATATACTGAGGTGGTTTCAATGTTAGTATACTCTGGCTCCCAGGTCATTATTTTCCAACTCTTATTCCCTCTTCTGATTTCATTTGACACTGATCTGAGCAATGTTTTACTATTTTTCCTATTGCAGGTTTAACTTTCTAACAATTC